AATAAAAACATAAATGTGAGTGTGCACACACTGGTAGCCAACTTGAATGCTATCTAGTCCTTTGTTTACTATGAATATACTGGTCTGAATAAAAATCACGTAACAGTTTTGTCTGGTGGTCTAAGAAAATGGATTATTCATATTATTCTAGTCAGGATACTTTAATGCTACCTAATTCGTTTTCACTATAATAAACAGGACATAGAAAACAGAAATTTGAGCCTACAAGATGGCTCGGTGGGTAAAGGCACTTTCCTCCAAACCTGACGACCTGCGTTCAGTTCCTGGGAACCACGTGGTGGACAGGGAGAACCAGCTCCCCACTGGTTGTTCACAGACCTCCACAGGTACGTCACGGCACGCACTTGAGTGTGCATGCATGCTCATTCAGACACACACATAAAATCTTAAATTTTTTTATGTTAAAAAAAAAAAAGGTTGGGGGCTGGAGAGATAGCTCAGCAGTTAAGAGCATTAACTGGCTGCTCCTGCAGAGGACCTGAGTTCGGTTCCCAACACCCACAGGGTGGCTCACAACCATCTTTGACTCCAGGGATCCACTGGCCTCCAATGGCAGCAGGCACGCATGAGGTACACAGACATGCATGCAGTGAAATTACCCATACACATAAAATAATAATAATAATAATAATAATAAATATTTTTTAAGTTTTTAAAAGTCAAACCAGAAATTCTAACCTTCTCCGTACCACTCTAGGTTCAGCCTCGGGGCTGCTTCCTTCCCAGCATTCCAAATTGTCCTGACGGCGAAGAACGGCCAGTCAACTCACACAGTCTACTTCCTCCAGCTCTGCATTCCTATTTTCTGAACAGAGTTCTCAAGTTTAATCATTAAGTTAATTTGGAATTTTTAACTAATTTGATCTAATGAACTGCTAACTCGGTGGGTCACCATCCAATTAATTCTTACCACTTTTTTTCCTACCAGAATATTATGAAACTAGAAAAACTTGGAATATTATGAAAACAGAAAAAAACTTCACTTTAGAACATAAAATGTGAGAATTATATATGTGAAATTTAAATCGGGGGTTTATTTTCTAGTTGTTCTCTACAAATGCACTGCCATCAGGCTATATCAGGTTTCTGAGTCTGTACACTCTTGACATGTTTGTCCGAGTGGATCTTGTATGGAGAATAGCTCTGCACTAACAATGTCTCTGGCAGCAGTCCCAGCCTCAACGCTGCTGCCTGCCAATGCCCCCTCTTGGGTAGAACAGCCAGGCCTTGCTAACTCTCCAAGGCACACAGTCCCCACTAGAGAACCATTGTCTGGTACCAAGACCTAGCCACTTCTTGTCTGGACTCCACAGCAGCTTCTTAGCAGGTCTACCTGGGTCGACCACATTACTACCTTCCACCCAGACACCCTTCTTCACATTACAAGCAAAGCAGTCTTCCGACTGGGATCCTGTCAGCCATGCCTGAGGCAAGCTTCAGTGGCTTACATTATCTCTTACAATAAAATTCAAAATAGCTCCTTCCTCTGGCTTCATCCTGTACCCCCACTTTCTGGTGGCACGGGCTGTCTTCTGAGCTCCTCCAATATGTTGCTCTCTTCCTAGTCACTTAACATTTCCCAAGTCTCCTCCAAGAACTTTCCTTCCCCAGTTGGTACAGCCATCTGAGATGTGCTGTCTAGGGAGTTGAAGAGGAAAAGGGATGTCACTGTGGCTGGCCTGGAACTCGTTACGTAGGCTAGGTAGCCTCAGACTCAGGGGCGATCCTCCGGTCTACCACCCGGTGCTGGACTACAGGCACATACTGCTCTATCCAATGGCTACTTCTCACTCTTCAGTGACAGTGCTACCTGGGGGCCCTGGACCGAAGCTATAACCTACAGAAAAAGCTGCATGTATCTCATGGCTGGAAAAGAAAACAACCTTTAACGGGGCCAGTTAGACCCTGATCATTCACAGCCATCAAGGAGAAACAAGCCAATGCAGATTTTCTTGATTTACATAGAATAAAGTTAACTTTTATGGAGTACAGCTGCGTGAGTTTTAACACACATAACCACCACCATGGTCAAGACACAGAACAATTCTAATATATCAAAAATATTTTCTTGTTGCCCCTTTACAGTCAAAATCTCCCACCCCAGCCCATGCAACCACAGATCCATTCTTTATTCTATCATTTTGTCTTTTCCTAATATCAAATATTGTCTCTTTCTTTACCAATAAAACTACGCACACACACACATGAGCTCACACATATGAATATATCCACACTCACATATGTGTCATACTCTTTGCATCAGATTTTTTAATTTTGGTGGTCTGGGAATGTTTAGTTGTTGTTTTATTGAGATAGTGTCTCACCTATAGATCAGGCTAGCTGCTTACTCTGTAGCCCAGGCTGGCCTTCAACTTGTGCCGAGCCTCCTGGGTGATAGGATTCCATGTGTAAACCACCATGTCTTTACATTAAAATATTAAGCTCTTTGATCCCAGCACTCAGGAAGCAGAAGGAGAAGGACCACACGTTAAAAGCCAGCCTGGAACCAGGTGGTGGTGGCGCACACCTTTAATCCCAGTGCTTGGGAGGCAGAGGCAGGCAGATACCTGAGTTCGAGGCCAGCCCATTCTATAGAGCAAGTTCCAGGACAGCCAGGGATACACAGAGAAACCCATCTTGGAAAACCAAAAATAAAAAATATATATATATAAAAATTCGCCTGTAAAGATGGTTTCTGTCCACCCTGCTAATGGGAGATACTCTAGAGCTTGTGGAAGAGGCTGCCAGCTGACCAGTGTCCAGCTGCTGCAACTCTGCATCATGACCTTCAGGTCTCCTCCAAAGCTAGCTCCAGCTCAATCCCTGCACACTGTCTGACACAGATGTTGTTCATGCCTACAACATCTGTGCTCCAAAGTGTCCCTCAGCCTCTCCTTGTGACTGCCTGCCTCGATTTACCACATAGGAACTGCTACACAGCCAAGCACTACTTTTCTTTCGACAGTCTTTGCTATGGAACCTCCCAGACTATTCTAGCCCCTCCCTACTTATGAGCACACCTTTGTCACTGTGCAGAGATAATCCTGATCATATTGTCAAATCAGCTACAGCAGAGGCAAACACCGTTTTCACTTAGTTGATTTGGTATTTATACGTGTGTGTGTGTGTGAGTGTGTGTGAGTGTGTGGGTATGTGTGTGTATGTGAATGTGTGTGTGTGTGTGAGTGTGTGTGTGTGTGTGTGTGTGTATGTGTGTGTGTGGTATTTCCTGCACCTACATGTGTGGGGGGTGAGTATGCACCAGAGCACATGGAGGCCAAAGTCCACATCACGTGTCTTCCTCCATTACTCTTGTCTTAGCCAGGGTTCTATTGCTGTGAAGAGACACCATGGCAGCTCTTATAAAGGAAAACATTTCACTGAGGGTTTGATGACAGTTTCAGAGACTTAGTCCATAATCATCATGGCAGGAAGTGTGGAGGCGTGCAGGCAGACATGGTGCTGGAGCAGTAGCTGAGAGTTTTACATCCTGATCCACAGGCAGCAGGTAGAGAGAGACTCTGGGTCTGCTGTGGCCTTTTGAAATCTCAAATTCCACCCGCAGTGACACACCTCCTCCAACAAGACTACGCCTTCTAATCCTTCCCAACTGTTCACCAACTGAGACCTAAACATTCAAATATATAAGCTGTTCTCATTCAAACCACAACTCTCAACACCTCCCACATTTTTCCTTTTCTTTTTTTGTTGTTGTTGTTGTTGTTTTTGTTTTTTTCCTTTTTTTTTAGACAAGGTCTCACTAGGTTGCCTTGGATAGCCTGGAACTCAGTCGGTAGACCAGGCTGGCCTTGAACTCTTAGAGATCCACCAGCCTCCGCCTCCTAAATGTTGGGATTAAAGGCCTACACTACCATGCCCAGCTAGTAATTTCATTTTTTAAAAAGCTCTTGAAGGATGGGGGGATGGCTCAGGGGTAGACTGCTTGCTCGGTCTCTGTTTTTCCATCCCCAAGCCCTGTTGACACTGTGTATAATGGAAACAGCCTCTGACCATGTCCCCCTGCTACCCATCACCTCTCCTAAGCACTGCAGTGACAGCCTTCTCAGTCCTCACTCCCAGTCTCAAAAGCTCATCCACACAATCTCTCTCCACTGCAGCTGGAGGTCCTCACAGAAATACATACATTCCACACTCATCCTGAAGCCTCATGCTGAGATCCATCTGTGTGCTAGGCACTCTGAAGTGCATAGAGCCCACCCACATCCCGAGAGGAAAGATGATCCGAGCCCTCAGAAAGTTGGTCATTCTGAAAGAGGGCAGACAAGGAACCAAAAAGACAATAAACAAGTCAAGAGCCATGTGACAAAGTGCAGAGGCAGAGGAAGCTCCAGGGGGTGAGAGGGCCTGGCTGCAGTCAGGGAGGCGAGTCCAGGCCCTCTGAGCAAGGCCTTGACAGTCCCCTGGGAAACATTATTTTGGATTCCTCACCTTTAACTGACCACATGATGAGTTTAAAAAAAAAAAAAAATTACAGGATTTTAAATGTGTTTCTTTTGTCTAACTACTACTTGTATTTTAATTCTTAAATACTTTCCTAATAAGCCACAAGTGCCTTTTTAGAAATGATAAATTAAGTGAAGTAGAAAAAAAAAACTACTCATGAAAGTGAGCTTCATCTCTTTCTAAAATTTAATTAAGAGTTTTTCATTTCATTGAGCTTTCTTGTATGGCATAAAAAGCAGCTAGAGATACTTGCACTTTTCTAGGTGCAAATCCTGTGCCTAGTGTTGGGGGGACTACACCCACCATGGGGAGCCTGTGCCCAGCTTGCTGAAAAGCAGAAATAGTTCTTAAACACAAACTCAGACTGATTCTTCAGATTAAGCCTGTTACAAAACCAAGGATGGATGAAGTCATCAGACTCACACACACAAGAATATTCCTCCAGAGATGCGGGGTTTGGGGAGCTCTGTAAGCCCCCCTCTGATTGGATGGGGAGGGCACGCTGTTTGTTTTACCTTCCGGTGGTCTGTTGGATGTTGCCACAACGACGACCCCGTTTTTGAACAGATTTTCAAAAAGCTGTTTCAGAATCATGGCGTCGGCGATGTCAGTGACCTGTGGACAACAACACATTTGTTTTATTTTAATTTTACTTCTGCTAATGGCTCTTTTTTTAAGATGGGAGTGAATTCCAGGAGGAAAATTCTAATTATCGTCAGGAAGGAAAGAGTAGATAATTAAAAGCATGAAAGGCCACCGAACAGTGTTCTACACTCCCACCTCCTTTGCGCAGATCCATCATTTCTACCCAAATTATCAAATGGTTCTACGCTAACGTCTTTATCAACTGCATGCGGAAAGCCTAGAAAACATTTAGGAAATCCAATTAATTAGAACATGACCAACTCTCTCCTTACACTGCCGCCCTCTACTCCCCCGCAACACACACACACACACACACACACACACACACTCACACACACACACAGGTGGGGGAGCAAGAACCACATTAAAATACTCGGGCTATTTGCAGTTCCTAATACCTTTCTGGCGAAGGTCCCTGGAAAGGTGACTTTTAATGGTCAGGGGACTTTAGAAATAAGGACAAGTAGCCAGTGAGACACAATCAGCTGCTGTTGGAAATAGAATGATATGACACAGATACTATTGTGCAATTGTTGCACAAAACAATTCAACAGATGGCCCATCACAGAAATAAGCAATTTCATTGTTCTTTTTAAGTGCTTTCTATTACTGTCCATGAATAATCCAAAGGCGCCGCAGTCACTTCCAGCACGCCAGCCTCTGCTAACCTTGCAAACACAAATATTCCTGCTAAAAAAAAAATAATAATAATAATAAAAATAAATCTACCCCTCCCAAGGAGGGTCAGTGCAGTGCCTTAAAACCACAACCTCTGACAAACCAGAAATGCATCGTGCAGCTGACACACGGCATAGTGCAGGGAAGACCACGCCAGGCCACGGGGAACACAGCGACCCATCTCTTATTTCTTGCTGAAATTATTCAAAATTGTTTCTTGTTCAAATCATAATCAAAAAGTCCACTTAATGGCAACTTTTTTCAAAGAGGCTTTTGCGGTTCACAAAGAAATCAGCAATCGAGAGAGGGAAACCCCACACCCCCCAAATGCCGGATGAAGACCCACTGACCACTGCAGGCAGCTGTGGGGTGCCAGCAGAGTTCTTAGAAGTCCCGGTAGAGAAGCGTGTTGACTGTCTTTACCAGCACATTTCAAAGAATCTCAGGAAAATATGCTTACATGTGCTTCCTAACTCATCACATTATGATTTTCCCTCTCTTAGAGGGTACAAAAACTCACGGAGATCTTTCTATCTGATCAAGACACTCCAAGTTACCAACAGACCCATTATAACACAGCCAGGCAAAACTGAGTTGCAGAGGTCTAAATAGTTTCTCTCCTGATGGCCAGGACCTTACCGAGACAGGGAAGGATTTCCTTCCCACCTGAACAACGAAAACCACGAGGGGCGGGGGCGGGGGAGGGGGAGTCTTTTCATCTCAAGCACTGACTTACAAACATTAAACTTACAAACCCCTGAAAATGCCCTCTATTAAAAAAGACCCAAGGAACTTGAAGCGTTCACTGAAGAGAAAAAGAGAAGCGTTGCTGGTGGCGTTCAGTTGGAGCTCAGGACTATGGACAAATTTTGCTTCCACAAAAACCTTCATAGAGAAGGTCCTTTTCAAATGCTTAAACACCAGTGGCATTTCTGATGAGCGGATAGAACGAGCTTGCAAAATTCAGTAGCAACTGCACTTTTAAACTAGATTTTAAAGCCAGCCCCAGCCTCTCCATACATTCCCTTTAAAAAGAAAATTGATGAAATGCCACTCGATATTAAAAAATAAAGGCAGTTCTTCGACTATGTTCATAATGGCTTTTGGAATAAAAAATGAAAAACAGCTTTTGTGCCCTGAAGTTCGGAGTGAAATATTCAGCTGATACAGTGTAAAAGCTTCACCCAGAAATGGACGGCAACAAACAGCCAAGGCTTGTGGTCGAGTTTCACTTGGCTGTTTTTACATTATGGGATGTTTTTGTGCTAGCTGAGAAAATTAACTTGGAGAAGCTATGACTAATTAATAAAGCAGGAGTCACTCGGTGCAGCTGGATGCCAATGTCTACTCTTTGATCTCGGCCCCGCACTTGCCCGGCTTTGCTGGGGAACAGTAATTTTACAGTACAAGCGAACAGAAGACCATTGGCCCCACATTCTTGGAGAGCTGGGGTGCTCAGCACCCAGCATTTCATTACCACCCGGAACAAAAGACAAGGCTACAGATTACCAATAAGGGTAGTCTGCGAGCAGAGAGTGGAGACATTCATTAGCATTAAAGAGAAGAGATCTTTATGATCTAGAGTTGCCTTCCATCCTGACTCACTTAAAGAAAAAAGGGGGAAAAAAGTAATTCATTTACATGTGTAAGTGCTTGCGGCTCAGTCACCCGCTGATTGGTACGCTGCCATGCAATGACTGACAAACATAAGCATGTATTATCAGTAATTAGTATTAGCACAAAAACAAGCACCTACTTTTTATTAGCAGGTTTTAATAGTGCTCCTGCTTTGTAAAAACGGCTAACTGTATCTGTTGGGTGATATTGATAGTTTATGGAGGAGAATTTTACACAGCAGTCTGCTTATGAAAATGCTTTTGAAAGACTATGTTTGTAAGACATGTCATCCTCCCTCAGTATTCTGTTTTCAGAATCACAAGTGGTTTAGCAGGTAACATAAATATTCAAAGATGATACAATAAAGATTTGAAAGAAAAACCTTAAGAGTGAGGGGTTTTTATTATTATTATTTCAGCCACTAAAACACATTCAAGCAAAAAAAAAAAAAAAAAAGATCAAAACCAAAACCTTATACAGACACATTCCCCAACCACAGAAGTGTGTCTGAGATGTCACGCTTGGCAGAGATGGAAGAGCGAGCAAGGGCACTCTGCAAAATGTGAGCTAAATGCTTCCAAAGGAGAAGCTTAAAAGCCCCTTCAACTCAAGAGCGCAGACAGAACGTGTATGCCCTTGCTTTTAAGCAGCAATAATTCCCATTCATCTCCTTATAAAATAAGCGTTATATTCATTACCACCGCCCTAGAGGTCAATAATAAACAGCAAAACCAGCAAGACTAATAAGATGATTCCATTTTAAAAGTGAAGTTGCAGACATACCATCACTAAGAGTAAAGCACCTAAAGAGTCTTTTCTAGTAAATTCAGCCAGTATTATACTAAGATTAATGATGACTTCTAGGTTCTGCTGTTAAAAACCTCCAAACCCCACCTCACTCTGCAGCCAGATATTTAACCACATAATAAACGACTTTGTGTACTAGGAAAGATACACAGCAGAGCTGTTCTGAGCCAGAGCAGGGCTGCAGGATTTAAACCACAGCTAAGTTACATAACGTCTCTGACTCTCCATTTTCTCACCAATATCATGAAAGCAGCAACAATACCTAGTTGCAAAACTTTAATAAGGCATATATTAAACTCTCAAGAAATGTTAACTGGGGTTATTACCTATGTATAGTATATACACTCCTATAATTCCATATTAGTAATGCACTGTTGTATAGGATTTTGGCTGCAAACAGAAGGACAGGTGTCACAGCACAGTGTTTAAGAACAAAGGAATTGGAGTTAGCAGTCAAGAGCAACTCTTGTTCTTCCAGCTCAGTTCCCAGAACCCACATCAAGTAGCTCCCAGCTGCCTCCAGCTCCAGCTCCAGGGGATCCATGCTTTCTTTGGAGTTCACAAACACCCACACTTATGTGCACACATGTACACAATTAAAAATTAAAATAAATATTTTGTTTAAAAGAAAGACAAACTATAGGGACCAGACATGATGGAGCACACCTTTAATCCCAGCATTCAGGAGGCAGAGGCAAATGGATCTCAAGACCAGCCTGGTCTACAAAACAAGCTCCAGGACCATCAAGACTACATAGAGAGGCCTTGACTCAAAGTAAACCAAAACCAAAACAATCAACACAAACATAGAGGTACATAGAAAGCACCCAGAAGGGGCTGGAGAAATGGCTCAGCGGTTTAGAGCACTGGCTGCTCTTCTGGAGGACCATGGTTCAATTCCCAGAACCCACATGGCAGCTCACAACTGTATATAATTCCAGTCCCCAGGGATCCAACACCCTTATACAAATGCACATAAAATAAAGTTAAATTAAAATTTAAAAAAAAAAAAAAAAAGAAAGCACCCAGGAAACAGCAGCCAACTTCAGAGAGTATGCATAAGGAGCTGAGATGCAGTTTGGTGGTAGCTGATTGTCCAGTGTGCAAGAGGCCCTAGGTCCAGTCTCCAGCACCAAAATGAACGAAAAAATTAATGAGTATACATAATAGATGGAATGGAACAGCCCAATAGGTAGACAGGCAACACCTCAAACAGTTCATGAAAGACTAACTTAATAAGTAAACAAAGGAGAAAATTTATATTAAAGTATAAATAATATAAGTTAAATAATAAGATAGCATTTTCACGTATTAACAATTAAAAACGACGAGATAATTCAGGATGTTGACAGGAGAAAACGTGGCTGAGGTTTTCGTCTTTGGTTCTAAACTGCTGACTTTGTTCAGGAGGCGTCTGACACACAACACCAGGAATGCTTAAGCGGGGAATGCTGTAAGCAAAGCTTAACAGACCACTCTGGGTATGGACAGTAAAGACTGTTCAGGTTTCGGACAAAAGGGCCCTGTTGGGAAACAGGCGAGAGGCCACTTGTGTTATATTCTGGCAAAGAATGCGGTATGACCTGCTCCTGTCCTGACAACTGTAAGTGAGGCTGAATTCAAAAGCAACGGACTTTTCGTTTGCTGGGGCAGAGTCAACGTAGCACAGCATTCAACTGTGGCTTGGCTGCTGCTTGATGTCGGGTTTGCAGCGAGAAATCAGAGCAAAGACGGAGCAGGCAGATTATGAAAGCAGAAGAATTAAGTTCAGCGAGGCAGAGAAAAGAAGATGGGTGTATTTAAAGCTGTGGACAGGGGGCTGGAGAGACGGCTGAGCAACTAGGAGCACTGGCTGCTCTCACAGAGGACCCAGGTTTGGTTCCCACCACCCACATGGCAGCTCACAACCATGCATAACTGCAGTTCCCGGACATCTGGTGCCCTCTGCAAGCACCAGGCACACTTGCAGTGGCCTTACCTGCATGCAGGTAAACAAGCACTCCTACAGTTAAAATAAAATAAATCCTTAAAAATTAAAAAAAAAAAAAAAATGAAGGCTAGAGAGGTGGCTCAGTGGTGAGCACAGGCTGCTCTTCCAGAGGACCTGGGTTTGATTCCCAGCACCCACAAGACAGCTCACAGTGATTTTTATCTCCAGTTCCAGGGGACTGATACCTTCTTCTGCCTCCAAGGGCACCAAGCATGCATGTGGTACATAGACACACATGCAGGCAAAAAATCTATACAGATAAAGTACAATAAATAAAATCATAAATAAATAAATGGCCAGCTGTGGTACGCACGCCTTTAATCCCAGTACTCATCAGTCCAGTATGCAGATGGATCTCTGTGAGTCTGAGGCCAGCCAGACCTATGGAAAGAGTTCCAAGCCAGCCAGAGCTATCCAGTGACCCTGTCTCAAAATAGATAAATAAGGTTGAAATAAGATGTGTATAAAACTGTAACTTTTTAGGAGAAAGTATCATTAAAGAGAAACTTCAAATCCTGACTGGGACAATGGGAAAGATGCCTTGAAGCAAGACCTCAACCGTCAAAGGTTCCAATTTATGAAAAATGAAATGTACTTGAAAGACTTTCATTTGGAAAAATCAGTACCTAAGTAAGTAGTGCCTGAACAGATAGAGACAAAGAGGTACTCTGGTCTAACGGGGTCCCCTATACAAGTGTTTCCCCAGATAGATCAAATTCATAAGAAACAGAGGTCCAAGGTTGCTGACAAGCTTGTAGATTAGCTACTTATAGACAGGCATAGTCTAATCAGCGGTAGAACAGAAAAGATCCTGTGATAAGAAATCAGACAACTGGAATAACTATCAAACCAAGTTCGGATGAGGCCAGTGATGACACACACCTCTATTGTATGTGTTAGCAGGCAAGATTCTTTAAGAGCCTCTGTCACTCAATGTGGTGGTTTGAGTGAGAATACCCCCATAGGCTCAGATATTTGAATACTTGGTCCCCAGTTGGTGGAACTGTTTAGGAAGGATTAGGAGGTGTGGCCTTCTTGTAGGAAATGTGTCATTAGGGGTGGGTTTTTAGGTTTTTAAAAGCCCAAGTCCTAGGTTGTCTCAACATGTAAGCTCTCAGCTACTGCTCCAACATCATGCCTGCCTGACGCCATGATCCCTGCCATGATGATCATGGGTTAATCCTCTCAAACTGTAATCAAGCCCCCAATAAACTCTCTCTCCTACACGCTGCCTTGGTCATGGTCTCTCTTCACAGCAATAGAAAAGTAACGAGGACACTCAACATGGAACAGGAAAACCCTCCTTGTCGCCTGTTGCTCTGACGAGCCTGGGCTTGTGTAATAAAGCATTACCAATGAAGACACTCATACTTGATTCCTGCCTGGGCTTGTGTAATTAAGCATTACCAATGAAGACATTCATACTTGATTCCGTCCTCCCATTAGTCAACCCGCTCAAATAGGAACTTAATGGAGAGTACTCGGACAGCCAGGGCTGTCAGGACTTCATTATTAGTGGAACATTATGGTTTGGGGGAACCCTAGAATATATACTTTCACAGGATCCTTCCTTATTCAAAAACAGCAAAAATCTATAGCCGTATTGTTATAAAAACAAATGCAGGGCTGGGGAGACGGCTCAGCGGTCAAGAGCACCGGCTGCTCTTCCAGAGCAGCCAGTTTGATTCCCAGCACCCACAAGGCAGTTCACCACTGACTGACTCCAGTTCCAGGTGATAGGATGCCCTCTTTGGGCCTCTGTGGGCAATGCACACACACGGTGCACAGACATACAAGCAGGCAAACTACTCACACACCTAAAATAAAAAGAAATAAAGAAATCTAAGATTTAGGGGGCTGAAGAGATGGTTCAGCGGTTAGGAATGTTTATCATTATTACAGAGGACCCAGGTTCATTTCTCATCGCTCGTATTGAGCTACTCACAACTGCCTGTAACTCCAGTTTCAGAGGATCTGCTGTCCTCCGGCCTTGGTGACCACTGCATACACATGGTGCACATAAACTCATGTAGGCACACTATTTTACAACTGTATAATATCTGCTATAGAAGGGAAACACATGACATTTACTGTAACTTATAAGTCGGCAAATTTCTCTTACAGTAAGTTAGTATTTCGGGCTTTCCACACCACATAGACTCTCTGTTCTTTCTTCTTCTTCTCCTTCTTCTTCCTCCTTCTCCTCCTCATCCTCCTCCTTCTTCCTCCTCTTGCTACCACTTAAAACACACACCCAGGGCTGGTGGGATGACTGAGTGGCTAAGAGGTCTGGCTCTTGCAGAGGACACACATTCAACTCCCAGCACCACAACTACCTCTAACTACAACTCCAGGGGTCTGTCGCCCTCTGCTGGCCTCCAGGAGCACCCACATGCACATGCACATAGATGCACACAGACATACACACTTACAGAGCAGTGAATAATAAAATAGATCTTAAAGCGCTATGCCCCAGAAATCTTTCCTCAGGGGCCACACAGAAGCAGAAGGCAATTTATCCTGAGTAGGCCACGGCTTGTGAAACTCTAAACAAGACAGTGAAATTGAAGCAATAACAGAGAATATGTGAAATCAATTCATAAAATAATGAAAATACCAGGAGCAAAATTGAAAAGCTCACACTTCATTCACCGTGCCATTCTATAGCTATGAAAAATCTCCACTTGGGGCTGGATGACAGCCCAGAGGTGCAGAGTGCCTGGTGTTCTTGTAGAACACGGAGTCCCGTTCCCTGAACCCAGGCAGCTCCCAGCCACCTGTAAATACAATTCCAGGGGACCCAATGCCTCTGGCCTTGGTGAGCACCCATACTCACATACACAACCCCATGTGTGTGCACACACACGCACACATACACACATACACATAATTTAAAATAATAAAAATAAATCTAAGTCTAACGAAAAAGGAAAATCCCCACTTTACCTGAAATTCATCAAAACATAGGAGACAAGCTTCTTGGCTTATCTCTTCAGCTATGGGAGCGATGGGGTCATATGACTTAGTCATGAATCCTGCCTTCCTCTTGGGCAAGCTCTGTTTAAGGCGATGTATTCCTTGGATATATGAAATGAAACAGACAAAATATTATATTAACAGAACATTTTAAGGAACTAGAACATATTTTTAATCTCTGACTGAAACTTAACTTGGACATAAACATTAAATTTAAACTCCATATGCAACGGAGTTCAGTCATCACAATTTGATTATTGAAAGGTGTTGCAGTTTCTCCACTTCCAAACAAGTTATTCAAATATTACAGTCTTAAAACTGTTGGACAACTCAAGGTCACCCGTCCCGTTGATGAATCACTTTACAGACAACAGCGAGAGGCAGCTAGATGCATCAGCCAACTGGAATTGGTCCTGGGTTTAAGTGATGAGAGGAGAGGGGGGACTTCTGCCTGTGAAGTGCAAACCTTGTCTCGCCTATCTAGTCAGAACGGTCTCTTGTCGCCAACCCACAACATCCAGACCATTCCTGCTTACTCACAATATCTACACTAAACACCGAATGTCCTGGGGGAAAGCAATGTTCCTGCTCTAGGGAGGGACAGATGCCAGGCAAACCATGTAGGAAATGAAATAATCTACGAACACCGAGAGATAGGCAAGATGGAACACACGTGCATCCCACCAGTGGGAGATGATGCAGAAGGGTCGGGAATTACATCAGACCGTCTCAAAAAGTAAACAAGAAACCTGCTGTGGTGGCACACGCCTTTAATCCCAACACTCTGGGAGACACAGGGAGGCAGATCTCTGAGTTCAAGGTCAGTCTACAGACCAAGTTCCAGGACATCCCGGGCTATAGAGAAACCCTGCCTCAGATAAATAAACAAACAAACAAACAAACAAATAAATAAATAAATAAATGGAAATTTAAAGCAAAACAAAACAAAAACAAGACCTATAAAGAGAGCTACGCAATCTACCTGCAAATACAGACTGAGCACATACAAGATAGGTAACACAGTAGGAACCGAATCAAAAACTTCCTAAAACAGGTGTCGCCTCTATGCTCTAACTGCCTGGCACTGAACTGGTCTTAAGAACTACCTCGAGAGGCATTCTCGTTTTCCATATACCGCAAAGCAAAAGAAACCAAAGAAAATCTTACTTCAAGCAAAAGTCCTTTTTTTTTTTTTTACAGCTTATATATGTTCGATACTGAAAAGAAGATGATTTTGTAGTCATCACACTGAAAAATCACTGGCTGCTTGGGGTCACTTACTTCTGTGCACATCTAGCATGAAGCCATGAAAATGGACCCGTTTTTTCCTCTTCATTTCCACATAAGCATAAAACATGTCCATCACCATTGTTTTCCCTGTACCTTAAAAATAAAAATAAAAAAAATTTAAGAATACCATTAAACGGCGTGTGCTGATTACACTAATGATTGTTCATTAGCTTTGAGATAATGAGACTGAGAGCGCTTTGCTGGGAAGCCAGAGGCTGCTGCACTGCTGGGGTGGAGGAGGCACTTACTTTTCCTGCTGAACTGGCTTTAAAAGATTGATGTTCCCTTTTTCGTCATAATCCTGCTTTTAGTCAACATTGAGAGGTATGCTCATAACCTGGCATGATTTCTAGGCTGTCCTTCCATCTTTCCGTCTAAAAGACACTAGAATAAATTAATCTATTGGCATCACTAAATATTAGGAACTATGGGAAATTCAGAAATTAAAATAAGAATATCGAGAGAAGGTGGCCGGCTGGCAGGAGGGCTCAGCAGAAGTACGTGCCATGTAAGCGTGCCGACTGGCATGTGATCCCATCCCCCACCCCATCCCTGCATACACATATATCACAAGCACACACAACAATAACAGATACAAATAGCTTTTTAAAGAGATGAAAAGTTAAGGAATGAATGCAGAGGGAAATGGTCGATTATAATACTTTGTCCTATTTAGAGCTGAGAACATGCTTTTCAAAATGAGCCCTACTTCAGAAACTCTGATAATCAATCGTTAGAATTAAATTATTTAGTTTTCAACACTTGAAAATGTTACTCGCTACAATTGCACTAGCAGCTGAATGTCAGTCACCTGAGCACAGGCAAGCACAAACAGTGTTCCTCTCTTGCAGAAAACCTAGCACCCGGGAACCTAGTACCTGCGGGACTGCAGCAGTACCCACACTTAGTCCATACCCCAGCAGCCATCAGCAAGCCGAACCGGCATGTAAGGGTCCTGTCTCCAGTCTTCTCCCTCCCTCTCTCTCTCTCCCTTCCCCCCTCCTCTCTCTCTCTCTCTCTCTCTCTCTCTCTCTCTCTCTCTCTCTCTCTCTCTCTCTCACACACACACACACACACACACACACACACACACACACACACCAAATCAAATGATGCAACTACTAAAATTCAAAGGCAGTTTAGTAAATGGGAAGACACAGACTTATCTTTGGGCTTTTTTCTACTCCAGGAGACATTAAGCCCATGACATTCTTTCTTTCTTTTCTTTTATTTTATTTTTATTTTATGTGTGTGCTGGTTTTGCCTGCAAGTATGTCTGTAAAGCACATGCATGCAGTATGCTGGGAGGCTAGAAGAGGGTGTTAGATTCTTCCTATGACTGGAGTTACTGATAGTTGTGAGCCATCATGTGGGTTCTGGAAATTTAACCCAGATCCTCTGCAACAAATGCTCTTAACCCCTGAGGCAACTCTTCAGCCTCCAAGTGTGGGGGCCCACAGAGGCTCCCTAGTAAGACCTTACTTAAGGACAGAGAATCTGAGCTTGCTTTACCCAGCAGGGCTGAATAATGGGACGATTTGGCCACGGGCACGGTTACCAGGTGTTTTGAAGGGTCTAGACTCCGCTGCACATTGTGCTTTGATCTTAAAAGGGGGAGGTCTTTTGCCTCTCCCCTTGGCATATTATAAAAAGCCCATTAGAATAAATCTCAAAGAGGCTGGGTATTGACCCAAGGCCCTCCCGAAGCTATCCTGTGTCTCTGTCTTTCTCTTCATCTCCACCTATATTTCTATCTAATATTTCCTCATCCCTCTCTCCTCTCCGCAAGAACCCTTTGACAGGTCAGAGCTGGACTCTAACACCCAAGCCCGTGCCATTTCAATGCCAGATCTTTTTGTGTGTGAAAATGCAATCCCCAGTCAGAATTTGCACTAAAAGGCCCACTTAAATTGAAAAGTGACTCTTTGCAAAATCTTCAGTACAGTAGTACTTCTGGCTAGAATAAGCAACAGCAGATTCTCACTCATTACATTTACCCAAAGAAGGAGAGCAGCAAAGTCTCAATTCCTACTGCATCTAACACTGGTCCAGCAAAGCTCTAGAATTATCTAGAATGTGGAGAACATGTACTTGAACTTGATATTTGTGTGAACTCTCTGTCAAATGGGCTTAAAATGGAGCAAGGTCATCATGTGAGCTGGAAGCTAGTCTGAGTTACATAGCAAGACATGTCTCAAAAAAAAGAAAAGAATATTAAGTTACATAACTTTCAACCATACGACTTTCAAAATCTTAATTAAATATAATAAATATCCCTATTCTCTTAATCAATATATTTACTGAATGTCCACATGGACAAGGCGCCACTGCAGGTGCTCAGGTACAACAGGAACAGTACTAAAAAAAACCCTGGGATCAGCATGAGCTCCTCACCAACCTGGGCTATTCAAGGAGTTCCAGGCCACCATGGACTACAGCAAGACCCGGCCTCAGGAAGATGTAAAACAGATTGGGAAAGTGATGTGCCACAGGGTTAATAGCATATAAGTGAGTTGTAGGCAATATCAGCACAGATGTTATTCTTAGGAAGTGAGAGAAATAGAAAAGTGCTCTTACATGGCTGTGCATGACATTGGTAAGCTAGAGGCACAGGCTGGGAGAGCACGAAGGAAGACTGTAGTACAACAGAAATGTTCTACACAATCACAAGATAGAATAAATAAATATAAACACAAAAGATACAAAAAGACTAATCCTATGAATAAGGTAGAGTATACAAACAGTCTTTAGAAGCTAAGAACAGGGCAGGTAGGCCAGTCAGCAGCTGAGGACACACACACACACACACACACACACACACACACACACACACACACACACACACACGGCAGGTAGGCCAGTCAGCAGCTGAGGACACACACACCACACTTGGCAACCAGAATTTAACCCCCATTCCCTCACAGTGGAAGGAGAGAAGAAACCCCCAAGCTGTTCTCTGACTTCCACATACACATCATGGCACATGCACACACAAACTAAAACAAATTATTAAGTAATAAAGTAATTTTTACAATAAAAACAACAACAACTACAAAGAACAGGATGGGTATAGTGACACAGGCTGGTAACCGTGGCCCTTGAGAGCTGGAGGCAGGAGAATCAAGGCCAGCTTAGGCTACATAAAGAGTGAGAGGCCAGCCTGGGCGATATGAAATCCCATCTTTTTTTTTTCTTTTTTTCTTTCTTTTTTTTTTTTTTTCTTATGAAACCCCATCTTAAAACAAGAGGAACAAAGGGTGGGGCAGAGTGATCCTAAGAAGGACCCAGATGGGAAACAGAACACAAATGTAAGATGGTAGGCTTTAGCCCTAACATACTGATCAAACCAACTGGACCACATAACCTAATAAAAAGGCCAAGATAAATAAACAAAAAGTAAAAACTAGAGACTCTCTTCATGACACCCAAACACACATGGTAAAAGTAAAAACCGAGGGCTTCAGAGATGACCCAGTGGTTAAGAGCACTGGCTGTTCTTCAGAGGACCGAGGTTCGATTCTCAGCACCACATGGCGGCTCACCATCATCAGTCCCAAAGGACCCAATGCCCTCTTCTGGTCTCCTTAGGGATTATAAACACGTGGTACGATGACACACTTGCAGGCAGGACACCCAAGCACATAAAGTTAATTAAATCTCTAAAAATTAAAGTAAAAACTGAGATCTGCTCCACAAATACTCATCCTAAGAAAGCTGCAGTAATCATATGAATATCGACACACTGGACAAGGAATCAGGAATATTGCTAAAGATAAAGAATGACACTCTGTAATAAGACACTTGATTCATCAACAAGGTAGAACAGCAGGGGTCACTGGGGCCCACATCTGGAATCCCAGCCCATAGGAGCCTAGCCTGTATCAAAGGAAGAAAGGAAAGAAGAATAACAATACTAAATACATATGTGCCTACTCATGAAACCTCACAGTATATCAAATGAAATTAAAAGGGGAAATAGCCTAATCCACAATAAATGTGGGAGCTATCAACATTCCTATCTTGGGAAAAGACAAAAGAAAAAGAAAAAGCAGTGAGGATACAGATTTCCATAACATTTGAGAAAACTGAGGTACAGAACATTACGCACAGCAATAAGTGGTTAGTGTTTTCACATACACATGAAATATTGAACTATAGCAGGCTTTCTCGGGCCACCAGTCCCCAAATCATAACACGCGGACTTATTAATTATGAATGCTTGGCCTTAACTTAGACTTGTTTCTAACTAGCTTTTCTTTTATTAATTTAAATTAACCCATTGCTATTAATCTATGTGCTGCCCTGAGACTCATTTACCTCATCTATGTACTATCCATCCTGCTTTCCTGCTTCCTCTGGTCTGGCTGGCTGATCCTTGGCTGGCTGGCCAGTTCTTCTTTTATCTCTGCCTGCCAGCCCCATCTACCCCTCCTCTGCCTAGCTATTGTTCATTCAGCTTTTTATTAGACCAATCAGGTGTCTTAGGCAGGCAAGGTCAAACAGCAACACATCTTTACATAGTTAAACAAATATTCTATTCCACAACATTTCCCCCATTTTGTCTAAATAAAAAGGAAAGGTTTTAACTTTAACATAGTAAAACTATATACAATAAGAACAATTATCAAGTAAGAGTTACATTTACAGTATCCAGTCCATTCGTATTTGGCAAATGCAGAGGAAATATTCTATTATTTATCCTATCTTGGTGAGTCCAAAGTTTTGTACCTAATTCACCTTCTATCATAACTAAGGAAAACTGTAACTATCTAGTCTTCAACTCCATCAAAGACCCCAGAAAGATATACTATTACCCAAGTAAACAAGAAGTGCAGTGCAAGCCACTTCCAAAACTATAGAAGTGACAGAGACAGCTGACTGCCTGGACAGTCACCCAAGGGTCCTCGGTAACATTGAAGCATCCATCTTTGGTCTACAGGCCTAGAACACCTGACAGACTTTTCTATGAAGCAGGAATTTTGAAGGACTATCCTGCCTTGTTTTGGCAAAGTTCGGCAGTCACTTTCTTTTGTATCCTGTATGTCTAGTTTCAATGGCATACTGTCAGCAGTCAAGGCAAGGATAGTTTTTTG